TAGGTGGTCTCTACAGCATCGTTGGCTGGGTGCTTCTCTGGATCGAGAGCCCAGGTGGCGGTGCTTTTGAGCCAGCTGCAACTACTTAGCTGTGTGCAATTCTAGCGAGCAGCGCCTCTGATGGTGTTTTTATTTCTTCATGATTTCTCCGACCGATACCAGGCCAATACCGTATTAATATCTAATCAAACGTTTCCCGGGCCGCACGCAATTCTGCCCACTCTCACACACGACCATACAGTACGCCATTCCACATGGGAGCTTAACCTCGTTACGGTTGGGGGGGGGGCTAAGCCGGCTTAAAGCTCAGCGTGGTATTAAACGTTGCAGTGGGAGAGAGGAATACTGCTCACTTACAAGAATGGTGACCAGTAGTTGACGCCACCAAAATTAATATTCATTCACGGATTCAGCTTTTATGACATTTCGATCGACGAATGTGTCAATTACTTAGGATGTCCGAGGGCTGTTGGATAAGTTTGGTAAAAATGGTACACAAAAAATAGATAAAAATATTCCTTATTTTTCAACGGAGTCACTCGATCTAAACACTGCCCAGTGTTTCCAATTTTTTCTTTCCATTGGAAAAGTAGGAATTGTCAAATTGGATGTTAGGTCGCCATCCTGCGGGGGAAGCCACCCGCCGAGTAAAAATACACGCACTACATTTTCGGGACCGATGGCCCCGATTGTACCTAAGGAGCTCGCCCGGAATCACCATCTACCTAGCAGCGAGGTGGAAGCGGTGAGGGCAGAGAGGGCGCCGGTTGTTTGCCCTCCGTCGATGGGTTCGCGTGCGACGCAGCGATCGCAGGCGCCCCGCAGACAATGGGCGGCGCCCTCGTGCCCCCTCCACCCCCATCCCGACCCCCGCCGTTGCGCCGCCGAAAAGGACGCGCCGCGCAGCGCCTCGCCGGAGCAAAACAATGGAGCCGTCGGGGCGAGCGGCGCTTCTGCGGATGAGTTCCCCGCTCCCGCCCTCGCACCTCCGCCCGCGCGCGCGTTCATCAGTCGCGGCTCGGGCATTTTTCGGGGGAATGGATTGCATGAATTTGGATGGAATTGTTACCGAGAATGTTTTCACAACTCCGAAGCGGATTTGGAATACGGTTTATTTGCTGTTTTAATTACTCTAGTGCATTCGTAAGGCTAACGTTGTATGGATATGTTTTCGTGAAAAGTTTCAATTTGTTTGAGATAATTTCTCAATACTTGTCTCTAGTTTCATTGTTGAATATTATATGGTTGAAATGTTAATGGTGTTAATGGATTATAAATCTTCATGCGCGCTTACTCACGCAAGCATTCAGACCTTCCCGGATAAATATTAACAATAATTAATTATTTCTTCCGTACGCATTAACTACGGTTATCATTAATCCTGTAAGCATCGTGAACGTTATCTCTGGTAGTGGGGTTCCTCCCCCCTCGGGAACATGAAATCTGACGCCGACCTTAACGTCAGTTTGCGGGCCTCCTTCCTCCAGAAACGGTGATTTCGGACTCAGAACATCTCGAAGAAACCCCTACGTAAGCTAAATTATAGGGAAGAAAGATTTGAAACCGCAAAAGCTCAGAAAAACCAGGATTTGGGAGATTTTTTCAGAAAAGAAGGGAGCAGTACCCTTATAAACGGGACGTGGACCGCACGCGATCATTCGCTCCCCTTCCTTGTCCTATCCTCCACACGCACTACTCTTCCATACATGTTAAGAGCTTGTCCAGACAGGGGCGGTGTCCCGTTGATGGAGATACGTAGAGGGGGGAAACCCGGCACCCTGCTGTGGAGGTCATCAGACGGGGGAGGAACACAACCAACTCCTGATATAAACATTCACTACACTGACGGACCATAGCATTGACGTGTCTGGGAAACTTCAATTAACGCACTTGTCAATGGGAAATACGGTTCGGTTGCCTGGCTGGCTGTAGGCGCCGTACGATCCTACTCGTAGCTCCGCGGAGTCTACCGCCACCTGAGTCGCTCTACCAAGCGGAGGGTCCGAGACAGCCCTCGAGCCCGCTTTCGTCGTGATCTTCAATGTTGCCCGAGGTGAGCGGTGGGCCCATGTGGTTCTTGTACCAGTGAACTGGGACCGAATTATCAATGCGCATAAACTTATGTAGTTCCGGGAAGAGTATGCAGAAATGATGAGAATGGTTAAAGACGGCCAGAAGGCAAAGCCACTGACAAGAGATTATAAAATGTAATAATGACGGCAATAAGCGCTGAAAGTGTTCTGAGGGAAGGCTCAGGGAGGTGGAAATGGGGCGATAAAGCGGAACGCACGAGGAGAGGTTTTCTCTGGGCCCGCCCACGCCTCCGCCCTCGCCCGTTCGCGCTTCGACCGCCCACGCGTTCCTTCACACTCGCCAACGTCCTCGCCCCCTCACCATCACCCTTGACCTCGCTCGCGCCCCCCCCTCTCGCCCTCCCTCTCGTCTCCGCCTTCTCTCTTGTCTCCGCTCGTCCTCGCCCTCCCTCTCACCCTCTCGTCCTCGCCATTCCTTTTACCTTGGCCCACGTCCTCGGGGTGTCGGGGCGGGGAAGGCGCGGAGCGGAGAAGGGCAGGTGTTTCCTGGCCGCAGCGCAGCGCATCCGCCGCCCACGAGGTAGAGGGGATGATAATGGGGCTCTTTTTTC